GCACAGCTACATTTAAAACAGTTAGACAGTTTCTTAAAAAGCTAAACATGTGCTTAACATTTGGCCCAGAAATTGTACTCTTGGGCATTTATAACAGAGAAATGAAAAGTTACGTTCACAGAACATATAAGTTTGTGTACCCAAATGTTCATAGCAGTGTTATTCAAAGCCAAAAACTAGCAAAAAACCAAATGTCCTTCAGTGAGTGAATGGCCAAACAAGCCATATCATGGAATATAATGTATATTATATTACATTTCATATCATGGAATTAATGTATCAATAAAAAGGAATGAGCTATATTTTTTTGATGCAGACATTTATTGCTGTAAACTTACCTCTTGGAACTGCTTGTGCTCCATCCCATAAGTTTTGATATGTTGTATTTCTATTCTATTTTAATCTCAAGATATTTTAAAATATTACTTTTAACTTCTTCTTTGACACTTTGGTTGTTCAATTGTATATTGTTTAATTTTTAAATTTGTAAACTTACCAAATTCCTCCTGTTACTCGTTTTTAATTTTCATAGCAGCATGGTTAGAAAACTTACTATGATTTTAAACTTCTTAAATTTATTAAGTTTCCTTATGTGACCTAATATATAATTTATCCTGGACGAGATTTTTTTTAAAAAACAGAGTCTCACTTTGTCATCCTCAATAGAGTGCAGTGGCATCACAGGTCACAGCAACCTCAATCTCTAGGGCTTAAGTGATTCTCTTGCCTCAGCTACCCAAGTAGCTGAGACTGCAGGTGCCTGCTACAACACCCAGCTATTTTGTTGTTATTGTTGTTGTCATTGTTGTTTAGCAGACCCAGGTCGGGTTCAAACACACTAGCCCCAGTGCATGTGGCTGGCACCTTAACCACTGGTCTACAGGGAGCCGAGTTTATCCTGGACAACGTTCTGTGCAAACTTGAGAAGAATGTTGAACAACCTCTCCCTATCCATTGCCCCCTAATATCCTCAGCCTTCTACTCTCTATTTTCATGAGACCAACTTTTTCAAATACTACATATGAGTAAGGTCATGTGGTATTTGTCCTTCTGTGCTTGAATTATTTCGCTTAATGTAATATCCCCTAAGTTAATCCATATTGCTGCAAATGACAGGACTTCAGACCTTTTTTATGGCTGAGTAATATTCTATTGTATGTATGTATATGCACACGCACATGAGCACACACCTGTGTGTGTGTATCGCATTTTTATCCATTATATACTGATGAGTGCTTAGGTGCTTAGGTTGATTTCATATCTTGGTTATTTTGAATAGTGTTGCAATAAACATGGTAATGCAGATATCTCTTCAACATACTAATTCAGTTTCCTCTGGTTATACATTTAGTAATAGGATCGTTGGATCACACAGTAGTTCTGTCTTTAATTTTTTGAAGAACATCTACATTGTTGTCCATAACAGCTGTACTAATTTACATTCCAGTCAACAGTGCAAAAGAGCTCCTCGAACTTTTATTCACAGTCTTACTTTGCAGAAAATCTAATATTTTTGCATAGTGAATATAAATCTTTCTTTTTATAATTTAGTCTTTTTATTATTTTTGATGTTCATAAAGATCTTCTCCTTGTTGTGCCTTGAATTCAAGCTAATATTATCTTTATATTTAGTGTCTTTAGTAGTTTGTTCTTAATATACTCAAGGTAAAAAAAAATGTATGTACAAGTTACCCTCAAATTCTAGTGTGTATCAGAACCATTCATAAGCTCATTAAAAAATGTAATTACTTGAGCTCCAATGACAAAAGTGAATTATTAGAGTGGGGCCAGAATTCAGTATTTTAAACAAGATCCACATGGGATTTTGAAGTTTTTGATAGGTTAAGCAAACTCAGAGAAACACTGGTATATGTTCCTGGCATATACAATCTTGAAGGGATCTTATGTGTTGATTTTGAAATGCAATTCCTTACTTATGGTGTTTCTTTCACAAGATAGAAATTCTAGACAAAAGAATTTACTTGCTTAAGGTTACATAGTCAGTCAGGTGTAGTGTGGAGATATTAATCCAAATATATTTTAATCACAAATTCCTCCCAGTGATTCTCAACTCCATATGTATATTAAAATGATCATGGGACTTTTTTTACACTGTAATAATCCCTCTGGCCCACCTTTTATGAGCTTGACTCAATTAGTTGGAAGTGGGTGTTAGAGTGCCACTTTAAAATTTTCTTAGGTGATTCAAATTTGCAGCCACAGCTGAGAACTTATGCACTAAAGACAATAGAATTCAAAAAAGAAAAAAATACCATTGCCTTTTTTAAAAGGGCACAGATTAGAGGGAAAATAGTGCCCGAGGTATGTAGATTAATTAAGGCCTTATAGGGCGGTACTTGTGGCTCAATGGGTAGGGCGCTGGCCCCATATACTGAGGGTGGCGGGTTCAAACCCAGTCCCAGCCAAACTGCAGCAACAACAGAAAAAAATAGCCGAGCGTTGTGGCGGACGCCTATAGTCCCAGCTACTTGGGAGGCTGAGGCAAGGGAATCACCTAAGTCCAGGAGTTGGAGGCTGCTGTGAGCTGTGTGATGCCACGGCACTCTACCATGCTGATAAAGTAAAACTCTGTCTCTACAAAAAAAAAAAAAAAAATTAAGGCCTTATACAATACCCTTGCAGGTGTCATATTAACTAGCTATATATCATCTGTTTATCATCTCTCTGTACATAATATGTGATAGGGAAAGGTTTATTCAAACTTGAACTACGCTGAGGCTTCCACTTTTATTTATATAAGTCCAGTAATATTTTGATTAAACAAAATGCAATGGGTGTAAAGTGAAACGAGCTTTTCCGGACTTTTAGCCAGTTCTGTAGGTGATTCTGATGCAGCCATTCTACATAGCACAGGTGGAGAAACACTGAAATATATAATGTTATGATAAGTCTATGTGTTGAAATTGATGTATGGTACTTTCTCTTCTGTCTTTTTAAATTGCAACTTGCAGTGTGTAGAGAAAAGTAGTTACTTGCCCATAAATGATCAGAGGTAAACCTGGATCTAGATTGCAGGACTCTTTACTTTGCTGCAATTAACTGTTGTGCCCTACAACTTACCAGGCCCCATGCTTAACACTGACAGTATCAGGATAAATGAGACAAAATATTTACTGTGAAGGGCACAGTCTAGTGAGGAGCAGTGATGACTGTGGAAAATGTTCTAAAACAAGGATCCACCTACTAGGTCCCCAGTCCCATCTGTTAGTTCCCATCAGTCTGTGATTACAGGTTTACTTGGCACAGAACATCTTAAAGCAAAGGAAGATAATTCCTCTGAATCTATTTGGTTAGTGTGAGTAGAGACTGGAGACTCTGGGGGTGAGAATTATGCAACTCAGAACAGTCTTTGAGACATATTCACAGAGTGGAATATGTAGCACTGTCTTCCCAGAAAATGGAGACTCCAGGAGACTGGGACATATTCATCAGAGGATGGAAGAGAAAGTTCAGTTGTGAGCATACTATTATAAGTCACTCAGATTTTTCTTGGGGATGCTAAGGAATTGTGATAAATAATAAACAAAGGGCTATTTGCACCCCTAAGCAGCACTAGTAAGTTATACTTAAATCATTTAAACCTGGTATAAGTACAACTCTAAAGCAGGGAGGGACATTCTTTACATGTTCCGAAAGGGCAAATGTGCATTCAAATCACTGAGGATTCCAGAGAAACTGTTTCATCTTTATCACCCTTAGGAGTCCAGAGTATCAGCAATGGTGAAGGCCAGTGGAGGAAGTAGGAGGGGGAAGAAAAGCCAATAGTCATGCCATTGTCTAGAAAAGGAAGGGAGAACAGCAGAGGAGTAGAAAAGTGTAACAGATTAAACACACCTAATCTGAAAATCCAGAATCTGAAGGGCACCAAACTCCAACAAAACTTTTTGTACATGACATGGCACCACAAATGGAAAGTTCCACAGCCAATCTCATGTACACAAACTTTTTTTCATGCACTAAATTACTTAAAATGTTGTATAAAATTACTTTCAGGCTGTGTGTATAATGTGTATATAAAAATAAATAAATTTCATGTTTAGATTTGAGTCCCATCCCTAAAATATCTTAATATCTATCTATCTATCGATCTATTGCATTTGTTCCTGGATTCTGGACTCAAGCATTTTGGGTAAGGGATATTCAATCTATACCCACATGATAGTTGACCAGATTTACTAGTAGACACAGTCTTTGAAACCTTTCCCCCAAATGAAAAACAAGAGGGTTGGGATCTTGCACTTATGGATAGAGCTAGACACAGGCTTAAGTCATTATCTCATTTGGTTCCCACAGCAGCCCTGTAAGGCATACATTATTTTCACCTTAAAGATGAATAGGCTGACTTTAAAGAAATGTATCTATAGGGAGGTGCCTGTGGCTCAGTGAGTAGAGCACCAGCCCCATATACCGAGGGTGGCAGGTTCAAACCCGGCCCC